GTGCCTTCCTCTGTGTGTCCTCCAAGCACATTTACAATAAAAGACTTCACTTAGAAATGAAGTGGTGGCCGGGTGCAGTGGCTCACACCTGTAATTCCAGCACTTTGGGAGGCTGAGGCAGGAGGATCGCTTGAGCTCAGGAGTTGGAGACCAGCCTGGACAACATGGCAAAACCGGTCTCTACAAAAAATACAAAAATTAGAGGGCGTGTTGGCGGGCACCTGTAGTCCCAGCTACTCAGGAGGCTGAGGTGAGAGGTTCACCTGAGCTCAAGAAGTCAAGGCTGCAGTGAGCCAAGATCACGCCACTGCATTCCAGCCTGGGTGACAGCCAGAGTGAGACCCTGCCTCAAAAAAAGAAAAGAAAAGAAAAAGAAGTGAAAGTAGCGGCGGCTAAATGTTTTCTAAAGCCTATAGTGGGAAAAACGCCCCAAAGATTTTGGGTTTCCCTCTAGATTGCACCATCAGCCCACCAGAGGCCAGGAGGGAGTGAAACGGACCTCATCACAAAACAGACCATTGCAGCGCAGCAGCCTCAGAGAGACAAACGCGAGAGACACAGATATCCCGGAGCCTTGCTCCGCTTCTTCCTCCAAACATGCCAACAGGCCTTCGGGGTCAATGAATGGCATCATCGCCTTCAGCACCGTCACAATTCAATGAATGCCTCCTGGATTCACATGCCCAAGAGGTTATGAATCAGAGTCTGAACAAACACTAAGTGGAAGTTCTCCAGCGGGCTGTGGTATATTCACATCCTACTCCCTGGAGCCTGATACGGGAAAGCTCCTTATATGTAACCCTTGAATGTGACTCCCTGTGAAAGGAACAAAGGGTCTTTGCAGATGTGATTGATTAAGGATCTTGCGATGGGGAGATCATACCAGATCCTCCAGGTAGGACCTAAATGCGTACGTATCCTTATGAGAGAGAAGAGGCAGATTTGACACACAGAGTAGATGGAGCAGGGAAACACTGAAAGCTCCTGCCCTGGAGCAATGCGGCTGCAGCCAGGGAATGCCAGGAAACTCAAAAGCTGGAGAGGAAGGAACAGCTCTTTCCCCAGGGCCTCCAGAGGGAGCACGGCCCTGCCGACACCTTGATTTTAGCCCAGTGATACTGACTTCAGATTCCTGTGCTCCAGAACTGTAAAAGAACACAGTTCTGCGGTTTTAAGCCACCAGGTTTTGGGGAATTTTTTACAGTAGCCACAGGAAACTAACACACAGGTCAGTATAATTTCCCTGGCCTTCTTCCCTTAGCCAACATTTTCAAAGAGGACTTGATATGTGTCCTCTTTGTGAATGTTGGCTAAGGGAGGAAGGCCATGAAAGGTGCAGAGACTGATAAGGTCCCAGTGAGAGTGATGGGTGTAGCATAACTGACTACCTTCACCACGCTGGGCCATGTGATGCGGCAGAGCCAGGCACAGGCATCTTCCACCAGAGGGGGCCATCTGGGAAGCTTTCTCTGAGCGGGGAGGTTTGCGCTCAGTCCTGAAGGGTAAAGCTGGATTCTGACAGGTGAAGGTGGGAAGCCATTCAAGAATGATGAAGGAACTGATGGGTGGGAGTCCAAGGTGTGCTGGGCACCAGAGAGTGGTCAGGGATGGGGAGGCTGGGAGAAGAGACCAGAAAGGCAAGTTGAGGCCAACCAGGTTGAGGGCCCCTGCCCTGCCGAAAGGTGGGCTCTCTCTGTTCTGTGGGACAGTGTTGGGGCAACGTCTGCAAAAACAGTGTGCACAGGCCACCCAATAAACAGATTTGGAAATTTTGTTGGAAACAAGAGTCCCAAAGACCTGACCCTGTTTGGCCATTCAGAAGCAGGAACTAAGGGCTGTGTGGCTGAGCTTGGAATCCCAGCCCTGATGCCAGGCCTGGCACTACATAAGTGCTGGGGAATGTAAGAGAAGAGACAGCAAGGAAGCTAGGGCAAGGGGAAAAGATGGCGGAAGGGGAGGCAGAGATGCGGAAGGAAAGAATGTAGGGAGAGAGGGAAGGAAGAGTCACAGGCTCCTGGGCCGCGGCTCCTCTGCCGAAGCACTTGTTTTCCTCCCTCCACACTGTGTACCCTCCTCTGTGCCCAAGGATAGAGTCCCATGGGTCCCCGGGGTTGCCCCTGTCCAGCTGCTGTCAGGCTGGCAAGGCTGTGCCCTGCTTAGGCCTATGATTCTTGCTGCTCCATTAATGGGCAAGGAGTCACCATCAGTTCCCACTGGAGGCTCTGCCAGGCCTGCACCCATGTGTGTCTTGAGCCTGGTAAAGAGGGATGGGGGAATCCTGGGGGTCAGCAGACAGGCTCTATTTGGATAAACTTGGCAAAGTTCAGCTGCTTCTCTGAACTCAGCCCCTGGGGTTTCCAGTGGGGAGCTGACGACCAGCCCCGTAGCCTCAGCTTCACCACTGACTTGCTCTCAGAACAGGTTCCAGGCCTGTCCCTGCCCCTCTGCCATCACAGATGAGCTGGAGTTGACTGATTCAGAGAGCACACCCAGGAAGCCCAGTGCAGAGGAAGAAGTGCTGCCCGGGTGTGGGGAGTGCTGGGAGGGAGGTAGAAGGGGCCAAAGACCAGGGTTCAAGTCCTCCACCTGCAAGCTGCATAGCCCCCAGAAATTCCCTGGCTTCTCCAGGTCTTCTCTGGTCCTTTTGGAAAACAGGGATTACTCTCCTGACCCTGCCCGCCTTGTGGGGCTGTTGCATCATGGGACTCAGGGGAAGTCTGTGTTCTCTAAGGCCCTACATAAACATGATAGGCCATTCATGGACACAGCTTGAGATCCATCTCCCAAGTGTACCAGGACTTGCTAAAGGTTGGAAAATGAGGAGCCAGGGTGGGGGGCAAGGGTAAGGGTGGTGTGTGTCCCACCACTTCTGATCTGCCATGGGTCCATCCTTGCAGCAGAAAAGACCAAGGTTTTGCAGGTGGAACGTGGCAGGTCTCCCCTGCATTGGCAAGGCCCAGGACAAGAGTACACACGGAGGCCATTTCCCATGTGTCTCATAGTTAAAAATCATCAATCAAGCTAGCAAACTGTTAAATGAAATATGCTCCATCCTCCTACCTTGTTAAATACATCTTCGAAACAACCTGGAAGGCTAGGATCAAATGTAGAATTCTGGCCTCCTTGGTGATCTGTGCCAGGACATGGCTGTGGGGGGGAGCCCTCCTGGCTAGGATCCATCCTGCTGAGCTCTCCATGCCGGGCTCCTCATCACCACATGGGGCCTTGCACACCCATGTGTGGATACCCAGCCCTCGCATCCACCTCCGTCTACACTCCTGACAGAGACCCAGCCCTCAGGTCCAGGGGTGCACACACCAGTGACATGGACTGGCTTTAGGAGGATGGCCCTGGGGAAGAGGCTTGGGCCTATTTGGGTAAGACTCCAGCATGAGCTAGTAAGAGGGGTGTGGGCATGTCCCCTTGGCCCTGCAGGCTCTCCTCAGTGTACAGGAGAGGGGGCACGGCTTCAGTAGGTCTGGAGTGGGGCCCTCTGAGGGGTGGCTCCTTTATTTATTTATTTATTTATTTATTTATTTATTCCTTTACTATTATTGCTATCTTTTGAGACAGAGTCTTGCTCTGTCACCCACGCTGGAGTGCAGTGGCATGATCTCAGTTCACTGTAACCTCTGCTTTCCGGGTTCCAACAATTCTTGTGCCTTAGCCTCCCAAGTAGCTGGGATTACAGGCGTGTGCCACCATGCCCAGCTTATTTGTGTGTGTGTGTGTGTGTGTGTGTGTGTGTATTTTTTAGTAGAGACAGGGTTTTGCCATGTTGGCCAGGCTGGTCTTGAACTCCTGGCCCAAGTGATCTGCCCACCTCCACCTCTCATGGTGCCGGGATTACAGGCATGAGCCACTGTGCCCAGCCTAAGTACCCAGAGAGAGTCAAGAGTGTGTGTTAGGAGGAGATACAGCCCTTGGAGCCCAGGCCCTGAAGCCAGCTGTGTGGCCCCTGCAAATGACTCTACCTAAGAGACAGCATGGTGGCTAGAGTTAATAATAACACATTGCATATTTCCAACAGCTAGAAGAGAGGTTTTTAATAGTTCTCACTACAAAGAAATGATAAATATTTGAGGTGATGGGTATGTGAATTAGCCTGATTTGATCATTCCAACAATGTATACACTGTCGAAACACCACACTGTGCCCCACAGATACACTGAATTATTCGTCTATTAAAAATTAAATTAAATAAAAATTTTTAGAAATAATTTTTTAAAGGAGACAATGCTAACTCATAAAAGAAATGTAACAACATCCAATGGAGGCCTGATTTTCCCCTGATTTTTAGAAACACCTTTCAGAAAAGAATACTTTGGGTATTTTTGCTATGGGAATGCCCTTAACACCCAGGCAGCCAGCCCTGCTCTCCCCACACCACCCCATAACGCAAGGAAATGTGGTGGCCTCCAAGTGTCTTAAAACTGACACCTAACTGGCCAGGAGCGATCAGGTTCCGGTGGCCACAGGGTGTTCCGTTTAGAATCAAGTGACAACTCCACCATCCAATATCCCCAACCCCAAGGAGTAAGGCCATCAAGAGCACCCCAGAGCCTTCTGCTTGCTCATGTCACACGACTGTGTGGGAGAGAGAGGGTGGGGGCCGGGAGGGAGGGAAGCTTGGGGAGAAGGCCTGTTCCACACTGGCGGGGTGACCTGCAGCCAGCCCCTGCACCCTCTTTGTTCAGACTCCCCGTGTGGCCAGGGAGGCGCTGTTTGAGTGACAGTCAAAGACCCTCCCCCCCGCCCCCCCCCCCCCCCCCCCCCCCCCCCCCCCCCCCCCCCCCCCCCCCCCCGTGTCCTCCCCAGTATGGCTGCTGGCTGGTCCAGGGCCCACTGCAGGCCCAGCTGCAGAGAGCGCAGACCTCTGCCTGATTTATTCAGGTCTGCTTCTCAGAAGCGTAGAGGTCACCCAGGCTGTTTGGGGGGATGCCCCCCCACCGAAACTCCGTCCGCTGCCTGCTGCGGAGACGCCGACAGTGCAAACTCACCAGGCACCATCCCTGTCAGCGTCGGTGCTGAGTAGCTGCCCTGTCCAGCGGGGGGAACATGTGGAGGGTACCCGGGGAGGGTCGTGCTCGCCAAGTCACGGCCTGAGGAATCAAAGCAACAAATCACAGGGTGAGCATCTCTGCGGCCAGCCGCTCATGTCCACAGCTCCCTGCACGCTTCTGCACATTTGTCACGTTTGGACGCTGAACGGCAATGTGCCCCCAGCTCCCCCCTGTCGCTCACATGCACTCTCACAAACACACATACACACACAACCACACACACACACAAATACACACACATGTACACACATCTCCAGCCACCCTGGCTCCACTCAGCAAGAACAGAGTCAGAGCTGTGGCCTGTCCCTGGGAAATCGGAACCTCCTGCTTGGGGAGGTGGGGCAGTGCAGGTGCCAACACACTCCAGCCAGCTCTCCCTACTCTACTCCCCAAGAATGCCTGGGACCGCTCCACCTCCACACTGTTGCTTCTGCTACATCCTCTGCACAAAGTCCCCCTCCTCCAACTGCACACAGCCTGCCACCACCTGCCTTCAAAGACCACCTCAAATGCCTCCTTCCTCCTCTCCTCAGTAGCCCCCCATAGTGAAGAGGGGGCATATCTGCCTCAAACCCTATAGAACCATATCTGGTCTAGTACTGAATTCTTCCTCTTTTGGCATAGAGCTGTTTCTTCATTCAGCGAAGATACAGGAAGCACCTCCTAGTACCAAACACTGTTCTGGCACTGGGAGATGGAGGTTAAGGCCTCGGCCCTCAAGGCCTGCACACTCCCATGGGTGAGTGTCCAGCTTTTTGCAGGCCACTGTGCATCTGACCATGAGTCCAGAGTGTCCACGTGTCTCTCAGCTGGGACACTGTCACCATTGCTGATTGGTTCCATCGTGCAGAAGAAAATTCAATTGCAGTTTTGATGGGTATGCATGTTGGGGTAGAGGCCAGGAATACATAAGGGGGTGCTGCCAAATCTGCCTCCTGAAAGATGGAGGGCATTATCCCAGTAGAAGGCTGCCTAGTACAAATGCTCACACCCTGCCTGGCTGCCTGCGTTGGATAAGACGATGCTAAGAGGGAGGGGACTTGCCCAAGGATACTCGGCAGACCTGAGGCAAGGCTGGGACTGAGAGTCAGTCTCCCGCCTCCTGGGAGTGGATCCTTCCTTCAGTAGGGGGTTGCTCTCTGGCTCATTTCTGAACCCCAACAGTTTCTGCTGCTGTTACATACACATGCTTTAAAACCTTGATCCTTAGGGCAAAGGTTTAGAAGATCAGTGCCTCACCAAAGCACTCAACTCAAGAAGCCAGATAAAAACCAATAAAATGAACCCAGGAAAAGAAGGAGGAAGGAATCAACAAAATAAAAACAGAAAAGAATGAATTAGGGGCAGGTGCAGTGGTTCACACCTGTAATCTCAGCACTTTGAAAGGCTGAGGTCAGGAGTTCAAGGCCAGCCTGGCTAACACAGTGAAATTCTGTCTCTACT